CACCACTACATTCAGACAAATCTTAGGGAAGAGGTGGCTCTGCCTTAAACCAAGTCAGTCCCAGACTCCAACTGCCATCCAGCGCTAGGTGGAGCTGGGTAACCATGTCTTCTGGATTCCCTGTGAAAGTAACCCAGGAGAATGTAGTTCTACGGGGATAAGGGATATCCTTATCCTCTCCGATCAAATAATCAGCAAGAGGAAAGTCTTCCATGCACCTTTTGAACACCTTTTGAAACTATGGGATTGGGTTAGCTGGAGTAAGTGGTTTCAGCAGAGGGAAGGAGGAGACAAAGGGGAAGTGGAGGCATGAGTCGCTTGTCAGTTGCTTTTGAGGTCTTTGTTATTTAATTCCAAGTGTTCAGGGGATGGGAGTGGAATGGATTTATTAGGGTGAATCTGAGTAGAGAAGTGAGGTTGGGGGAAAGAGGAGGGAGGCAGGTAGCTAGAGGACAGCTCCTGGGGGCAGAGGCAAGGGGAATGATAAGAGCTGGAAGGAGGGCCGGGCGTAGTTGCTCAAGCCTGTAATCCTAGCACTCTGGGAGGCCCAGGCGGGTGGATCGTTTGAGTTTAGGAATTTGAGACCAGCCTGAGCAAGAGCAAGATCCCATCTCTACTAAAAAAACAGAAAGAAATTAGCTGGACAACTAAAATATATATATATATATAATTAGCTGGGCATGGTGGCACACGCCTATAGTCCCAGCTACTTGGGAAGCTGAGGCAGTAGGATCGCTTGAGCCCAGGAGTTTGAGGTTGCTGTGAGCTAGGCTGACGCCATGGCACTCGAGCCCAGGCGACAGAGTGATACTCTGTCTCAAAAAAAAAAAAGAGCTGGAAGAAGGATGCAACGAGAAAGCTTCCAAAGAAACAAAACCCACAGACTGTGGAACGAGCCCTGAGTTTGAAATACACTGCCTGCCATTTGCTTCAACATTCCAGTGTGTGTTTGTGGGAGCAGGAGCAGGGAGGGAGGGAGGAGGGGCATAGATGAAGCAAGACTGGCCATCTGATGATAATTATTGAAACTGAGTGATGGGTACACAGGGGTTCACCATACTATTCTCCCTACTTTTATATGTTTCTATTTTTTTTTTTTTTTTTTGAGACAGAGTCTCACTCTGTTGCCCGGAGTAGAGTGCCGTGGCGTCAGCCTTATATGTTTCTATTTTTTAAGAGTTTTTTTTTTTTTTTAAGGTACTAAGTGATTACCATTTGACTCAGAGTAAAAACAAAAACCTATAATCCTTATGCTGGCCCACAAGGCCCAACACAACCTTGCCCTCCTCTCCTGTTACTTCTCTTGCCTCCATGGGGCACACATGCTCCCTCACTCTTAACTATTCCTTGAGCTCATCAGCCATGCTCCTCCCGCCTTAGGCCTTTGCAAAGCTGGTCTCTCTGCTTAGAATCATCTCCACCCACATATCCATGCACCTTACTCATCTTCTCAAGGAGACGCCCGCTGACCACGCTATTTAGAATTGCAGCTCACCCTCTGTCCCTTCTCTAGAACTCCTAATTCTCATCACCCCATGTAATTTTTTCCCTAGCACTTATCATCTTCAAACACACTATATTATGTACTTATTTCCTGTGTATTATCTTTTTTCACCGGGATTTAAATTACCAGAGGGACAGGGAATTTTTGTTTTGGGGGTTTTTTTGTTGTCCAGTGACTGAAATAATGCCTGGCACCCAATAAATATGAGTGGAATGAATATAAAAAGTTTTAGAACTACTTAAGCAAGGGAGGGTGTAGGTGTCTTCGGCCTTGGCTTTTCTTCGGTAACTGGAGTAGCTAGCATCTACTCCCAACCGACTCTTTTGTGCTAAACAAAAAAACTGGGGCGGCCGGGCGCGGTGGCTCACGCCTGTAATCCTAGCTCTCTGGGAGGCCGAGGCGGGCGGATTGTTTGAGCTCAGGAGTTCGAAACCAGCCTGAGCAAGAGCGAGACCCCGTCTCTACTAAAAATAGAAAGAAATTAATTGGACAACTAAAAATACATAGAAAAAAATTAGCCGGACATGGTGGCGCATGCCTGTAGTCCCAGCTACTTGGGAGGCTGAGGCAGGAGGATCGCTTGAGCCCAGGAGTTTGAGGTTGCTGTGAGCTGGGATGACGCCACGGCAACACAGTGAGACTCTGTCTCAAAAAAAAAAAAAAAAAAAAAACTGGGGTATCTTATTTCTGAAGAGGAGTGAAGAACTTATACATAGCTCATCAGAATTACTGCCCTCCTCCCCAACTTCTAGGGAGAGATTTCATAACTTGGTTTTGAGACATCTAAGGCTATATCCAGTGACAGCTTATGATATCACAAAATTCTTAACATAACTCCTCACAACAAAGTGAGGAATTTCTCCCTAAACCATACAATAATTGGAAAACCTCTCAAAACTGGGGCTTTATAGTTTTTAGGAAATTTTAGGCTTTGGCAAAATACATATATTTAGGCGGAAGTTATCTCAAGACAAATGTTCAAAATCATTTTTATGATTAGGAAGACTGTGGGCACCCAAATCCAATTTAGAGCTACTTTGTACCAAGACGTTTTTTTTGTACGAGGCAATTTCCAACAGGCTCATCCCTTCTTGCATTTATAGCTCTCCTGTAGCTCGGAAGTTACTCCTACATGCACCTTCATTTATCTATGGCACAAACTAGCTAAGGACCTTGAACATACTATTTCTTTGGGCCAATTTTCTTATGAATACAAAAATACCCTTGAGGGTGTGTGTGTGTGTAGTTGTGTATACCACTCAGTACTGTCAGAATAGAGACAAAATCTTGGGAATTCAGATAAATAATAGAATAAAACCCCACAAAAACCTGGGAATCATTGCCTTAAGTGATAGAATGGGAAAGGGATTATCCACATCTCTTTTAACAGTGTTATTTATCAAAGAAAATACTGTTTGATTTACTTACAAGTGATTGTGCAGCAGTGTGTTGCAGCTTACAGTATAGATGCTGTTCAGAGTCTGGATGACCTTTCCAGAGCAGACCAAAATGTAAGCTCAGGGGAAAATGGACAGGTTCTCTGGCTTCCATTTCCACAGATCAGGTCTAGATGCCCTACCATGCTCCCAGGCTAAGGCAAGAGTGCCATCTGGAGGATCTCCATTTCAGAAACGCTTTCGCCAAACTAATCAGGAAACAGGTCACCGACAATTCAGGACCCACATAGAAACAGGTCACCGACAATTCAGGACCCACATAGAAACAGGAGCCATTATCAGTCCAATCTCACAATATCTCACAATATCGCTCCAATCTCACAGATTTAGGCTGTTTGCAGACTTTCCTTCTTAATAAAAACTTTCCTTTTTATTTTTTTACAATCTTGGGACATGTTTCTTGAATTTCATTTCTCAAAGTCATTTGTATAGTTCTGATTGCTATTTGAGAAGGGGTTTCTACTACTTGGCCCACAGATCCACTGAATAATTCAAGCCTTACAGTTCCCTTTCTCCCATAATCTACACACTCTTTCTAAAGGAAGAAGGTGCTACTCCCATCCCAACTCAGATTCCCAATCAGAACAGGTACCCTCAAAGGTCTTGTAAGAGCTGCCAGACCCAACTCCCACATGTTCAGTCAGATGATTCATCCCTAACCAGAATGAACATCCACTTAATCTTCCAGTATCAATCGCCTTGGCCAGGGAAGAGCATGGAGTCTGCCTGCACTGTGTGCCGTAGTATATAAACTATTCATCGGGGGAAATAGTTCCAAGGGATTGCACCTACACAGCCTAAGAACTGCAATGCAGTTTTCTGCGTTACTGTGGAGAGGGAAGGAGTGAAGAGCACGCTTTTCAGTTACAAGAGATCCCACCTCCAAATTGCTATACCTGGCAAGCAACAGGAATAGCTTCTACGAACAAAAGAAATCTGCTGTTCTGTGTAATAGGCCTGTGATGCATTTATTTCAGTTCTGCCCTTAGTTCCCCATTCTGTCAATTGCTGAGAAAAGTAATGCTACCTGAAATTATGCGAATTTTCAAAAATGGATGTTTTCTTCACCTGTAAAAATGGCCCCTTCCTGCTCTCTTAAGAAAGCCAAGTCCTTTGTTCTCTAAAAAAAAAAAACCCCAAAGCTGGTTCAGACAATTCTTTTTGGAGTTCTCATAGCAGGACATGCAGAATAGAGACAAATAGCTTATTGTTAACCAGAGCTGAGTCCTGTTATAAAAATAAAACCAGTCTTCTTTCTTAATAGTTCTTCTATGACACTCAAATTGGAAAAAGAAAGACTAAGCAACCAGAATGACTTACTTAAAGGTGATGAGCCAGAACTAAGCCCAAGAGGGTAAAGGCAGAGAATCCTGGAAGGCAGGAGGAAAAACAATTTGTGCTATGTGTGTAAGGGATTAGGAGAATGAGGAGTAAGGAAGCACTCTCATTGCACTAGCAACTTCCTTCAGACAATACCTACCTCAAAAGCACATAAAGATCACACACCTCCAACCCTCTTTTCTGGAAAGGAAACTATATTTTAGTATGAAGATATATAATCCAGAGTCCTAGAGAAGTCCAAGATAACCTTAAGTTCCTCCAATGGCTGCAAAGAGTTAAAATTACAAAAAGTTGAGCTGAAGGATTAGTTATGTTCACCAAACAAAGGAATAGGCTATAGAGCCCAGAATTAGCATCTCATAGCACATACTTTCCAAAGGAACTTCAGCAATTAAAAACTTTGCCATTTGACAACATGTAGAAACAGTAGAGCTTGAGAAGGTAGAAAAAGTCCAACCAAGAAAATAAAATTTAGTTGAAATAGCAAAAAGTGCAAACAATTTATAATTAGAGAAAGTCCTAGGAGTCCTAGGAATTCTGAGAAATTACCAGATAGTGTTATAAAGAAAGGAGATAAGCTAGTGAGTATTCTATGAGTATCATATACTTCAACACAAAGAATGACATAGAAGGTAAGATAACTTGTTGGTCTCTTTTGTCAAAGCTCTCATGTTATTAAAGACAGTCACCCTCAACTCTAAAAAGCATTATTTATTGGAAAGAAAAAATATTACAAGAAGTCTCCGTAATTCCCACAAGGCTAAATATGGTATCCCTACTTCCCACGTCCATCCCCCAAAAAATATTTCCCATTTGCTCACAAATTCTCTACCCTGACTCTTGGAATCTCCCAGATTCCTTGCTACAAAGCCAGGGCCTACATTTACAATGTACGTAGTTCCCAGTGGGTGCTGGAAGCAGCATGAAATAATGCTGCCTGACAGTTTCTCATCTAATCAAAAGAGGGTGGCTAGAATGTCAATGAATTGAGGTGCTTTACTAGACAACTTATCTTAATATCCAGTTCTTACACAAAGCCTCAGACAGGCCAGGAGGTAAGATGTTTTCTTGTCAAGCCAAACTTCCATGATATATTGGTTCACCAGAACCTATGGGTGATTCCAAGAAGTCTTTAAGGGAGTAATTATGCCAAGGGAGGAATCCACATAGTCAAGAAGTCATAGCTTTCTCAAGAAGATGGAGCTATTTAATCTTAGCAAGGGCAGCTGCTCTTCTTTCTGTGTTCTGGAACAAGGCACGAATTAAAGCTTTTACTTCACTGGAAGAGAATGCAGTTGCCAGAGGCCCTTTTCCATCTGCCCACCTGCAAAACAAAACATAGAATTCATTTTCTTATTAGGTCTCTGAAGTATAAGCAAGACTTAAAATTTGCTTATTTGATCCAAATGCTTATTTGTTTTAAACAGAAATTAAATGCTGGGCATACTTCCTACCCTTCACTGCTTTGACCTCTTTGCTCACTGGCTACATCTGGTATCAGCACAGCCAGATAAAGAGACCAAGTGAGGAAGATGAGACTGTTCTCCCTTATTCTTATACTCACTAAGCCCTCTCTAAACTTAAAAATCATGACCACACACACTCTCATGCCTTAGGCTCTGTAACTATATTAAAAAGTGAACCACAGGCAACAAATTTTAACTGGCAAAGGACTAGTATAAAAAACATA